TGGCCCAACTGGCTAGAAGATTGAGAGCTTTATACATCCCTTAGAGGTATCCAGCATTGGATATAGACAGATACAAACTACTGGGAGTGACTGGCCTATGTTACTGTGCATGGGGAAAACATTTTTTTTCCTGCCTTAAAAAATGTTGTCTGTGAACCTAAGTGTTCCAAGATAATTTCTAATTCATGGTTCTGTCAAGTGAAAAATGGACTTCAGCAGAAGTGCTCAAGCCAGGGAAGCTCAAACGTTGTTCTTGAATAAAATTGAACTAAGCTTGAAGTTATGTATATTTGGCGGTTCCTCTAGGCTTGGAAAAGCATCCACTTAATTATTCAATTGGTCACAAAATGTACTTTCCTCTTAACTTTTTTTTTCTCATCCCTATGGAGATAATTAACTGTTACATGCAGAAAGTAAGGACTGTGTGTTTAGAACAACACATTGATATTTCTGACCTTTGCTCTTTAGACACCTCATTCATCCATAAATCTTTGTGTAAAAAAAAAAATGTACTAAAGGATTTAGAATTTAAAAAATTTACCTCTGCCTCTGAATCAATCTTGAAAAATAATTATTTTCTTGAATACCTGCATATGCTATATAGATTTCAGCATTAATTTAAAATGGAAAAAGAATCATATCCTAATGTCTATGAATGTGATTTGTTTAGTTAAGTTTTAATGTGTCTTTTGAGGTGATGGTCTTTGTGTCCCATTCGGCATCTACTCAAAAGCAAATTTTCAACACACCTTTGATATTAATTACTACTAGTGTCTGTTCCAGTACCGTAATATCCAAGATCTGCTTTATTAATTGTAGAGTTATTTCTCCCTTTCAGGTCATCACTTGTGCATATAGTATATAGTATTGTAGGTGTTGGTTTCAGCTGCTGCTATATTTTAAAATATTTTAACCATATTTTTTTAAAAAGAATCATTTATTTCAACTGATAAATTTCTATGTGAGGTACATTTTGTATTATTTTAAAGTTGCAGTGTTTTGTAGTTCTTTTGGGGTGTGCCTTGAATTCTTGAAAGTTGGAGGTGGAATTCAATGTGTGTACCTTCCAGTAGGTTTGGAAACTAGCTACTTAGGAGTGAAGCATTCAAAGGGAAAGTAGTTACTAATGAGCTCAGTCTCAGGAGCATTTATGTGACTTCTGTTACACATTGATCAAGCACAAACAGCAACTTCAGGTTGCCTACTTCCCCTGTTGCCTCCACTTCTGGAGGCTTGTCTGCTATAGTAATACATTTCTTAATGTCTTGTCAAAATATATTCATGCTTTATTTGTACACTTTTTTTTTTTTAACCACAATTAACCCTCAGTGTAAAGATTTTTGATGCATTTGTAAAAGCTGCCTCTTTTTGAGAGAGAGAGAAGGGGAGGTGCAGTGAAGCCAGGCCTTTCTGTTCTGCCCTCCTGCTCCATAGTCTTTGTTACTCTTACCATTACAGTAGCCTTCCTTTGCATGTGGCAAAGTTTTGGGTTAATCTTCCTGGGATGTAGGTGATTGGAATTGCATAAAGTGCTTCAGGGGAGGTGCACTGCACAAAGGCATTTGTATGGCTTTGTTTTTGCTCTAACTGGTGCACCCAGTGCCTGGGTTGTACCTGCTATTTTTACAGTGAGGGTGTCTAGATATGTTCCCCTCCTGCATCATTCCCACTTTTAGCTCCCGATTCACACACAGCAGGTGCTCTTTTTGGTCTTTTTGCTAGCCCCAAAATGCATGATCTTGCACTTCGTGTTATTAGATTTCACCCTGTTCCTGTTGTTCCAGTTCTCAAGGCAATGCAGCTGTGCCTGTGTGTTGTTCTGCTCCTTTTCCATATTAATGATGTTTCACAACCTTGTGACAGCAGCAAATTTGGCACTGCTTAGTGCCAAAATTCATACTGCAATCATATACGTGCCTGTGCGTGCATACAGAACCAGCACCTCCTGAGCTTCAATTAAAGCGTTTTCTATGCCAGCACATCCCCACTGTGTATTACTTCCTGTATACTCTGGAAATTGTTTAGGCATCTTACAATTTCTCTAATCTTAATCTTTTCCTCCTTAAATATGGTTATGTCATACCTAATGCTCTGCTAAGTCCCTGTGCATTACATTTAATTCATGCACTTGGTGCAGAAAATTTATTCTATATCAGACTAATTTGACATGATCATCTTTGATAAATGTACTTTACATTTTATCCTACTTTTTTGTATGATGTAAGCTATTTGTTCTTGGATGTTTGTCCTGAAGCTTTTCATGCTATTGATGTCGGGCTAAAAGGTGGCTGTTTTTCATGATTTCTTAAATATAAATACTCCATTTATTGTTTTCCAGTCTAGTCATTGTGGTAGATTTATTATTACCCTGACCATCTGGTCCTCTGTGTAACTTGTTTCACTTGTTTCAGAATATCCAATTCATCTGACTTGAACCTTTCTTTTTCTTTTTTTCTTTTTTGTTTGTTCTGATTGCTTGTTTTTGATCATCCTTGGTGTCAAAAATGCATTTCCTTATTCTTTCTTATAAATATCTACCTAATGTTTTCTGTTATTCAATTTCTCTACAAGTTCTAAATCAACTTTTCCCCCATCACATATTTATTAGCGTATAAAATTGGCTCTATTTGTTGATCAGTAGCTCAGTAGCTTTTCTTTTCTTTTTCTTTTTTTCTCTTTCTCTGATCTCTTGGCCACTTTGTAACATAGGAGGACTTAAATCAGTATAAGGGTTTTAAAAAGAAAAAGGAGGAGGAAATGACTGGTGGACCCGGGATTAGATTAAAAATGTTATTGGCTTTGTGCTGAAATCTCCGCCTGTGAGTAAGCAGCGGGGAAGATGGGGAGGATTTAGGCCTGGGAAAAGGCGTTTATTTGTTGCGTACCACCAATCCTTTCCTGATCAGGCTGCTGTCCAGGGAGGTTTCTGTATAGAAAAGAGTTGTTGAGCCCTGGGTCCATGTTGTTCCATGGATATTGCAGATATTACAGAGGACGTCCTGACTCCTTTAATGCCAATGGAGCTTTTGTTAATGACTTGTGGAGGTCAGGATTTCACCACCCTGTCTACATGTGTGTTAGACTTTTTTTTGGTCCTGTTCTGAGTCTGGGAAAGATTTTCATTGTTTATCTAAAATGGTGCTGAATGGATCGCAGGCTGATCCAGTGATGCATCTGGATTCACTTTTACAAGGGACAATACAGGGGGAAAAAAAACTTGAAAAATTGTTTTTCTAAATTGAAATCAGAAGGCTCAAAAGCCCTCCCATTTGACTGTTACATTTAAAGGAAGGCCTGGCAACGTAATGTTTTCTCACTTGAAGCAAGTTATGTTTTGAGCATGCAACTATATATCATGATTGCTAAAGGTAATAAGGTGGCCATTATTTAAGGTATGCCGCAAGGCATCCTGGGCTGACAGCTTCAAATCACCATGTAAATCTGCCTGACACAGCTTTAAAAGAAATAAAACACAAGTGAAAGCCCTGGTGTTTAGTTTAAAAACACACATGGCTGTGGTTGCTATTTTAGCCTATGTGGACTAACCGAGGAAGCCTTTTGTCAGCTCTCCGACCTACTGAGTGGTGTCAGCTTGATTTCTGTGTTAATGTGCTGACTCTTTGGTTTGATACTTTCCATTAAAATACATGTAAAGAGCTTGTGTGGTTTTGTTATATTTAGCAGCTTTCCCTGTTCTAAATGTTCTTCCAAAGACTGCCCTTGGTATCACTGAAAGTAAGAGGAAGTGCTTTGGGAGTTGTATTCAGTTGTTGGAAGCAATTATTAAGCCTTTGTACAATGCTAAAAGGATGGAGCCAGGTGGAGAGCTTTGTAAGCTAATGAGATAACCAAATGCAGAGAAGATCTATCCTTTATGGAGAAATACCAAGTAGGATGGTCAGAGTGGTGCAAGTCATAAGTGCCTAGCACCGATTCAGATCTGTTCTGGCTTCCTGGCGTGAAAGCTTGTTGGGTTCAGGCTGAAGGATTCTCCTTGCACCCGCTCTTTAGGCCTGGTGTTCTTGGGGAAGATGACTTGTTCCTGGCAGAGGCTGCCAAAAAACAAAGTAGCCCTGAACTTCTTTTATCTCAATCTAGACTAGCAGTTGGAATGGGGTTTTGACCCCATTTTTCCTTGAATGATGATGGCACGCGTGATCACCTCTGGTGTTTTTCCTAGGACAGCTGAGACATTATAGACCTTTCTCTAAGACCCTGAGCAAGTGGAGGTTTGCATGTCCCTTTCTGCCTGGAATAAGTGTAATTCCACTTCCAAAACATAAATCTATTGCCTGGTGTAGCTTAGGCTTTAATGCTGGATGTTATAATTGTTAATTCAGTATTGTTTGTATGGCCTGATTGATTCCTCCCTTCTATTAGAGAGTGATTACAAGCTAATGAGTTTTCTTCTTTTCATTAATGAGTGGAAATCACAAGTGATGAATGACCCTTGGACATGTCCTTTTCAAGAACTACTCCAGAAGAGACCTCCTGGAATGGCTGATGTTGGCGCTCTGCCTTGCGCTCTCTTTCCCGTCTCCCCTCTGTCCTCTCCTTTGCCATCACAAAGTGGACAAAAGTTGCAGGTTTTGTATGAGATAAAAGGTTCACCAAATTCACCTTGGGGGTTTTGACAAAAATAGAATGAACAGCCATTGTGTGGAGAAAATACTGAAGTATTTTGCCTTGTTTAAACAAATCTATCTGTTCGGAAACAAAAATGTTTCTATCCTTTCCATCAGCATCTGTTGTGTATTGTGAAATACCTGCCATACCACAAATTTCAAGCCCCAGTTGTGAGTGAGGCAAATCTTCATCATCCTGGCTGGTTGCTGAAGCCTGAAATATGCAGTGATTGCAGTGAAGGTCCATAATGGAGAGAGCCTCTAAATGAAGAGCCCTGTCTAGCTGATCCACTGACATCTTAAAATCTTGTTCCATATGTGGCGTTATGCGAATTTGCCACCTCAGGTTACTATGTCCTGTTTTCCTTTTCACAGGTAGAGTCACCCCAGAACAGCTCAGCTCGTACATCCAGCTTTTCAAAAATAATTTCAAAGCTCTGGAGAACCACTGTGGTCTTTTACAGCTTGTGCTGGCCGCGGTCCAGACTTTGAAACACCCACAGAATTCCAAATGGGACAACTTCCTAGCATTTGAGAGACTACTTCTGCAGGTACATATTATGTGAATTTATTTGACTTGAGTAATATTTTTATTTGAAATCCCATTGGATTCTGTAGTTTGTATTTTGTATAATGAAGAACGATGCATATCTTTTTAAAAAATTGTTCCTAACCAGAGCCACTAAGCCTGGGGGCACCAGACCTAAATGCTGCCTAAAGGGCAAAGATGCTACCAGCACCACTCTGCATATGGCACTACGTTTCCTTTGGCATGCCCATTCCAACCTCAGTCTCCCTAGGACTCTAAGCTGTCTCTCTTTCTTAACCCTAACCCTAGCCCTAACCAGAGCCACTAAGCACGGGCTCATCAGGCCTAGTGCTGTCCAAAAAGCAAAGATTGCCCTAGAACCAGTCAGCATATCCTGCTACATTTCCTTTGGCATGCCCATTCCAACCACAGTCTCCCTAGGACTCTGTGCTGTCTCTCTTCCTTAACCCTAACCCTACCCCTAACCGTAGCCCCTAAGCCTGGGGGCACCAGGCCTAAATGCTGCCTAAAGGACAAAGATGCTACCAGCACCACTCTGCCTATGGCACTACATATCCTTTGGCATGCCCATTCCAACCTCAGTCTCCCTAGGACTCTATGCTGTGTCTCTTCCTTAACCCTAACCAGAGCCACTAAGCAGGGGCTCATCAGGCCTAGTGCTGTCGAAAATGCAAAGATTGCCCTAAAACCAGTCAGCATATCCTGCTGTATTGTAATTTTATTTTTATGTAGTTTTTATGCCTATACTAAATTTCAAGATGATATGACTTTCAGCAGTGGCTAGAATTGCTTTTATGTTAAATTGTTAGTAATATTGCCCCTCTCAAGGTCATACAGTGAATCAAACTTTTTTTTTTAAATACTGTGTCAGGGTAAATCATGGGTAGTTCACAGCGTGGGTGAAAGTGTAGTTGGCAATTCCATCACAAGAGTGAGGTTGCTCTCACTCACAGCTGTCGCCTGCCCTCAGCTTTTCCCACCAGCAGCTTCTTTACAGCATCCTGTTGGTGGCCGCAGTGCTGTTGACATACCATTTTGTATCGTACTTGGATCTCTCTCAGGAAATCAAGGGTTAGTGGCTTTTTTGAATTCTATCCTACTAACTTTTGGAGAAGTACCAAATAAAGGAGGCATTTTGTAAGAACCTAACAGAGTTAATTTCTGCTGAAATTAAGGAAAAAAGGAACATTTTTGTCTATGCTGCCTCTATGGATGCTGTGTTTTTTTTTTTAAGACAAATCATTTTTTTTCCAAAATCCTAGTATAAGGCTTCACAAGGTAACATGTAATGTTGAAGTAACTACTGTTAAAAGTCACTTCTAGTGCTAAACTTCCACGTTACATAAAGTCAGCCTTGAGTGAGTGAAGCGTATAGTGTGTAGGCCACAGCTAATAGTCTTCCAGTAAGAATTGTCTTTGTCTAGATGTCAAAAACAAACCATCAGTCCAACCCTCCTCATGTTTTGCAGCAACAGAATATAGTCTTTGAGAAGACGTAGCCTATGCAGATGCTCTAACTTTGTTGTGAATAAATGTTTTGATATATTTGGTGATGAGTGATGGGTGGAAAACCAAACATTTAGTAGTAGTAACTGCTTGTGTGCATTAATTTAGATAATTGTCTTCCTTGAGCTGAAATACTTTTGATAATACATGGCGATTTCTTTAAGAAAAATCATACCTCAGGTAAAATAAATCATTGTAGCCATTCTTTTTGCTTGAACTGTAGACATGGGATTGAGAGGAATTCCTAGACTTCAGCCCATAGTTTCCCTGTCTGCTTGCAGTGATTCACATATAGTTCTTCTCAGAAGCTGGTTAAATTCCATCTTAAAACCAGTTAGGCCTCAGAATCAAAATAAAGCTGCAAGCTCAGCATTGTTTCAACAACAACGGACAGCCGCCTGTAAAAGCTATGCCTTAAATCAGCAGGGAGTGGAAAAACAGAGGTAAGAAACAGCCAAACTTTTAAAATATATATTTCATAAAAAAAGTACAACAAGCGCTCTTATAATCATAACATGTGGCTTTGGATTATACCCACTGCCTTCCACTCATCTTATTAAGGTAGGATATGTTAGCCAAAGCAAACTTTCTGTGCCAACATGTATAACTGCTGCTTAAGCACATACTCATTTTCAGTAGTTCAAGCAACAATTATTTTGAATTACATGATCCATAAAACGTGTACTTTTACTGACTCTATTTTGAAGACAGTCTGAGTTGCATTATCTATTTTTGAGCACGTGGTTTGTCTCTGATCTGTTCATGGGCTTCTAGGGAGAGCAAAGTGCCAAGAGACTCAAAGCTTCCAAGATATTTTTATTTAGGATTTTGTAGGCAGAATGCTTGGTACTAAATTTCATGTCATGGTGTTCCATTCCAGCATGACTACTGAGAAATTCTTTAGTAGAGTTGTTGTCATGCTTCAGTTATTTTAAAATACTAAATAAATCTTTTTAAAAAATTAATATAAGTTCTGTTTCAACATGCAAGTAACAGTGTGACTGTCTCATTGAAACTTTAATGAAAATGACCACCCTTTTTGAAAGGTCTATTGGGAGAAATATTGTTAGACAGTGGTCAAGGTAGGAGCTCTAGATTTTGCGCTGATGGATGCCAGGTTTCAGACGACGCCGAAGAAAACCAGTTCAAACCACTGGTGTCAGGGTTCTAAGATTCCCCAAAGACACAAATCTGCCTCATTTTGGACTTTCTCTCATTGCTGAATCTTTCTGATTGGTCACATGATTCTGTGCTTAGTCTATTGCAGGCTTTTTGGAAAAAACATACCACTGACACTAAGTCTTTAATCAAACTCTTGTACTGAATCACCTCTTCCATTTTTCTTCTCTTCGTTATTCTACACTACTCTCAGTTGATTTTCCAGATACTGAATTCTAAAAATAACCTAAATAGAACGTGGCCTGCTTCTAGTGTTTTATCATAATTAAAGATTAAATATCTTTCCTTAGGCTTGTGATATCCCAGGTTTTCAACAACTCTAGTAAGAAAGAGTTTGGTTTTGGCTAGAAGTCCAGCCGTCTCTTCTTAAGTGAATGATGGCCTCCCAGCAAAATCCCATGGTTAATGG